TGGTTTAAGATAAAAAGAGTTTAAAGAAAAGAAAAAGAAAAAAGAGGGGGGGAGGGTGTAAGAAAACCTGAGAAAAACAAATGGTACAGAAAACCCCAAATGCTCATCCCCAGCTGACAGATGCCCAACCAGTTCCTGAGAAATGGCAGGGCTGGCAAACTGCCTCCCTGGATTTTATTGCTGAGCACGAGGTCATATGGCATGGGATATCCCTTTGGTCAGTTGAGGTCAGCTGTCCCAGCTGTGTCCCCTCCCAAATTCTCATGTACCCCCAGCCTGCTTGCTGGTGGGGTGGTGTGAGAAGAAGAAAACACCTTGACGCTGTGCAAGCGCTGTTCCCTGATAACTAAAACCTCCCAGTATTATCAACATTGTTTTCATCACAAACCCAAACATAGCCCCATACTAGCTACTGTGAAGAAATTTAACTCTATCCCAGTCAGAAGCAGTGTACAGCTGTTTACTCAAACCAGGTGCACTTTGATATGTTTATGATTCAAGTTGTAAACTTGTATCTGGCAAACAGTTTTGTTTCTTGACTTATGTTTTCATTTTAAGGAATATATGTGTGACAATGTTGCTGTTAATGTATTTATCAAGTCTAAAAAGTATAGAAGTGACTAGCCAGCGTGTATATTTTATATGCATTTTGTAACTAGAGTTTATTCCAATGAAGAATATGTGCTTCTTTTTACATAGCAAAAAAGTGACATTTTGATAGGCCAACTGAAATTTGAGGATGTGTTCTAGATTTGAATAAGAAGGAAAATGAGGTTCATGAGGGTTATGTGGAGATGTGCATTGAGTTAGTCTCTACTTAGAGAAAGAAGAACAAATAGAATGATTTACATGTTGAAATTAATCTGAAAACTCAACTAATTGCTGTGGTTGGCCCTGATAGTGCTTAGGAAGCACTGCTAAGATGAGGAGTAAGAGACACTATTAAAGTGAATAATTATATGGTCATTTGACATGTCACAGTGTAACTTTCATCAGACCTCCCAAGATGCTTACTTTGCTCTTCAATAACATTGTCTTGCAGAGCCTGGTGTTTTACTCTCAAATTTGGGAAAATGTATGGCAGAAAAGAATGTAAGAATTAAATATTTTTTAAAAATAGTAAAGATACCTGCTTTTGAGTTTTGGTCAGTAGTAATTGTTTCCTACATGACAATGCTGTCTAGTTTCAGATCCCTTTCTGAGCCAGTTGATACATCCGGCCTTTAACATCTTGAAGCACTGATTCAAATCGTTGTGGAATTCCATAACTATTTTCACTTGTCTGGTTGCTTTCTGGGGTTCTTTTTTTGTTCTAACTGCTACTCCCTTAATGTCACACTCTGTCAAAGATCATATAGTCATACCTGTTCCTTTCCGCACCATACCTGCTGTTACAGATTTGTGCTTCCTTTCAGATTTTCATTTTTTGAGTTGAAGAGTTGATTTAATGTAGTCTGTATAGAATCTGTATTGTATAAGTTACACAGTAGCACAATGATGATTTCTCTTTTTTTTTTCTCTGAAATTTAATAACAATCTGTTTGCTCTTTTACCGGTGTTGAACAGAGTTATATCTTGAACTTTTTTTAGGTTTCACTACCCTGAATAATTGTGTGTTGTTTGAAAACTTAGTCATTTCCTTACTTTCAGTCATTCCAGATTGTAGTGTTAAACATGTCTGTAAATTTATCTATTCGCAGATTTTTGGGAAATGTCACAAAGAAAATGACTATGTATTTTTAAGCCACCTTTCCAATTTTTAACCAGTTGTAAAACAGGAATCAACAGCTAACATACTAGGGTTTGTTAGAGCCTTTAGTATGTGACATTGCTGAAGTCCCAGCTACACCATATCACCTTTATCCCAGTGCTTCTTAAGTCTTCCAGAAAGCTCCTCTGTTATTGATTTTCTGTTACTTGACTTCCCTCAAACAAATCTATTTGCTTTTCCCTAGGGTACCTTATACAATCAAGCTTGCCCAATTTCATTTGCCCTTAAAGGTGCTGTGGATTTGCCTAATACAAACATTATAGTGTAGCTCCTGAAATCTGTTTAAATGATTTGGGTTATATTTGCTGCTTGTGTGCAGAGGCTGGTTTAAGCAATAGATTAACCTGTATTGTAATGCTTTTGAAACATTTTAATGTGCAGCATGTAGTCCTGGGCAAGTGTTAGTTACTCTTTGATATTTCTTCTAAAATGGTTTGTTCTGAAACCTTGTCTGCTGATACTGTGTATGTCTTGGTGCTCATTCTCTACAATCTGCAAAGAATAGCTATCATATAGAACACACCTGATCAGTGCAAATAGGTTTGGGTGTTTAAGACTTTCCTCTTGAAGAAAGTACTGACTAGATTTCACTGTTAAAATCATTAAAAACAAAAAGTCCACATAATACTATTCATATGATGAACTAAAATCTTGAACTTGTATTGCATGACTGTTTTCTTGTTGTCCTTTTATGTATTTAGTTGCTCACAAAATAATACTGTAGTAACCAAGTAAATGTTACATAATTTACAAAAGTATGTCCAGAATAACAAGGTGGTCTTTTTTTGTCCTGTAGAACACATTCCTTTTTGATATTGGCTTTAAAAGTCAACTTCGTTTGTAGCATTGAAGCCCTGTACTATTACTTGATCTTCTGAAGAGATCCAAGTCTATTTTTGTAATTGTGCAGTATCCATGAATTGCAATACTTGTAAATGAAAATTCTGGTTTAAACTGAACATTTTCTTCAAAAGAATTAGAATTCAAACTTTGTTCAAGCCATACGGTGTCATAGAATCATCGGATGGTTTGGATTGGAAGGGACCTTACAGATAATCTTGTTCCACTTCCCCCTGCCGTGGGCCAGAGACACTTTCCACTAGACCACGTTGCTCAAAGCCCCGTCCAACCTGGCCTTGAACACTGCCAGAGAGGGGACATCCACAGCTTCTCTGGGCAACCTATTCCAGTGCCTCGCCACCATCACAGTAAAGAATTTCTGCCTAATATCTAACCTGAATCTACCCTGTTTCAGCTTAAAACCATTACCCCTCATCCTATCACTACACTCCCTGATAAAGAGTCCCTCCCCATCTTAACTGTAGGCCTCCTTTAAGTACTGGAAGGCCGCTATAAGGTCTCCCTGGAGCCTTTTTTTCTCCATGTTGAACTACCCCAACTCTCTCTCTCTCTGTCCTCACAGGGGAGGTGCTCCAGCCTCCTCTGGACCCGCTCGAGCATGTCCGTGCCCTTCTTATGCTGGTGGCCCCAGAGCTGGACACAGCCCCACAGCAGGTGGGGTCTCACAAGAGCAGCGTAGAGGGGGACAGTCCCCTCCCTCGACCTGCTGGCCACACTGCTCTTGATGCAGCCAAGGATACAGTTGGCTTTCTGGGCTGTGAGAGCACATTGCTGGCTCATAGTCAGTTTTCCATCCACTAATAACCCCAAGTCCTTTCCTGCAGGGCTGCTCTCAATCTGCTTATCTCCCAGCCTGTATTTGTGCTTGGGATTGCCCCAACCCATGTGCAGGACTCTGCACTTGGCCTTATTGATCTTCACAAGATTTGCATGGATGTTATTCATGTCCATCCTGTCCCACCTTCCACGTGCCCCCAGCCTGGTGATCAGTGTCATCAGTCAGTTACAGCAGAAGATATATAGGCAAATAATGATGAGATAATTTATATATCTTATGAAATGATGTCTTATAAACTCCACTAGGTTTACCAGCATTGATGTAACTATGTAGAGAACTACTATACTGCATAGAAGAATTGCAGAGGACAAGGAACCTTACAGTGTACAAACACAAAGCCAAGACACTTCTTGCTTCAGTGCACATATAATAGATGACAAGATAATATATAAAAGATCATAAAAAATTATAATGCAATTATTGTGAGAATCAATCAGAAATTATTGTACAAATACCTTACTTGTAGGTTGAAACTGTTAAAAAAAGTATTTACCATTGCATTTTTATGAAAATTACATGTTTGTTGGAATCACTCTCTTCAAGATTAAGAAACCTCATCCTTTTTTGTTTAAAAAAAACCCAAAATACACTGGCTAGTGATTGTCATTTTTTTAACATGTTTATACCCAGTTTCACCAAAATTGAATGATGTAAAATCACATTAAAATGAAACTAGATTCATATCTAGTAGACATGAAGTGTTATGTTTACTTTGCTCAGTAAGAGTTTTATAAGTAGCTTCTGTAAAATGAGGATATTATACACAACTAGTAAAAATCCACAAATTTTGACACAGATTTGGCATAAAATATCACATGTTACATCAGAGGAGTTACTATTAGTCATATTAAAACCAACTTCTTTACACCATCTTACCTGAGCAATATTGCTTGTATGTGTTCACAATAGTAAATTTTATGGAGCTTAACATCTGGTGTCTAATTCATTCACCTTTCTGGCCTGTCATGGCAGACATTTAAATTGTTCTTGGTATAACTGCCTCTAGGCGTCTTTGGGTCAACCAACCACCTTAAGATCCCTGTTTTTTTAAAGAATGTTAAAGTTTGAAATTTTTGTTTATGCCTAAATACATAAACCTGTTTGGTTTTAATCTGAGAATATAGTTGTATCTATGGGACATTGCTGTTACATTGCCATTTACATAGCATCAGCAATTATCAAGGTTATTTTAATTATGTAAAAAGACACCTGCACCAGGGGGGAAGTGTGCAGTTGAAATGCATGGCTTTGGAAATCTGTAAGTGGACCAGTGACTGCACCTGAGCTAAAATCAGAGCTGATGTGTTAGGTGTTCACGAGAGCCAGTTTTTCTATTCTGCTCTTTATGCCTGATCAATTCTGTGAGTTTATGTTCCTTGTTGATCTACTTTTTGTAACTGCAGTCACCAAATTTGTCAGAGTTTGAAGGAAACCTTAGGTAACTGAAAATACCAGTATGACATCTTTCCTTCAGTAATTTCTGCTTTCCCAGATGCATTGCTTACTGTTCCTCAGATGTTCGACCTTGACTTTCATTAAAACGTTGAGAATATAATAAGGGTCTTAGAAGGCTTGCATATTTTAATTTTGCTGTTTAATAAAACCAAGTGTACCTTCTGTAATTATAAGTGAATTAATGGTAGTTGTATTATTAACTTCATTTTTAAGCCATATATGTTGCTAAATTCAGAAATATTTTATTGGAAAAAATACTTCTATAAATGTAGTTAAAATGCTCATCTCTGAAACCTGTTAAAACACAGAAGTACATAAAATCTTTCATGGTTTATATAGCTCTTTTGAATAGGATATAATTCATCTATTACTTACATACACAAGTTGGTAATATTAATGTCTATACACAAGATTCCTTATACAGATTCAAGCCACTTTGTGGAGGTCTCCTTACAGAGTTAGTGTTCTAGTTTAGCCCAACAGAAGAAGTCTGAGGACTTCCTATCTCGTTTTCTTAGATAAACAAGAGCAAAATACTTCTGAAAAGTAACTTCTCATTTCACAAACAGAAGTAATACTTCTCATTTTTAACAGGAAGAAAGACGCAGGATTAGTAGCTCTACAGTATAGCATTTGGTAATCTTAAATTGATGTCCTGGAGTGACAGAGATAAACCAGTATGCATTCAGATAATCAAATCAAAGACTTCTTCTTTAAAGAACTTGAGTGAGGAGTGGTGGTAGATAATCTCTCTTGTGTATATTGTCCAAGTTTTATTTCTGAAGTGCTTTCCAGAGTTAGGCCTGAATCTCCGTGAATTTTTCTGCAAATAAGTTGGAATACCGTCTTACGGACACTTCTGGACATTAGGAAATACATAACTGGGTCTAAGCAGCTGTTAAAAGATGAAAATATGAGCATCACCTCATTGCATTTGTGAATGATTTCCTTCCAATAACAAGATGGGTTTTGTAACTGTGATGTAATGTAGGCAAACCGGAACATGTGGTAAGGAACAAAACAGATGGTGAAAATAACGAGCACAATGAAGGAATTCCTTGCTGTCTGGGTATATTTTCCTGCATTGGGAAAATTTGCTCTTTTCCTTGAAATTTTCAGAAGGTTCTTGGCAATTTTAACATATGAGAGTATCAGAAGGAAAAAAACTATCCAAAAAATTATTACAGTAATGTAATTTAAAATTGCTTCTGTCTTTGCATTTTGTTTATTTCTGTAATGAAAGCACATAGTAGAATTGCTGTCCCCACTCTTAAAGAAAGATGGTGCAACTACTATTATAAATCCTGTTAGTGCAAGTGCCCACACCATGCAACATATACGTATGCTTCGTGTAGTAGTTAACATTTTAGGACGCTTCACAGACTTATTTATTTTTATATAACGATCTAGACTAATTAGTCCCAACAGTACTATACTAATATACATGTTCATATAAAATAGAGTTCCTACAATCTTGCATAAAATTAGTCCAAACATCCAGGTGTTTTTGGTAACATGATAGAGTATTCGGAAGGGAAGACAGAAGATCAGCAGAAGGTCTGCAACAGCTACGTTTAGCAAGTAAACTTGGATAGAATTCCTTTTCTGATGAATGCACAGGAAAGCAAACAGGGCTATAATATTTCCAACCAATCCAACGACAAAAATAATAGAGTAAAAAACTATCAAAGCAAATGACAGTGAGTTGTCATCCAAGGGACAACTGGCATTGTTTTGAATTTCTGAGGCATTTATGTCTAGGCTAGTTTGGTTACTCCAGAAGGCTTCCTTGTGTGGAATAAGGGTCAGTACATCAGCTGAAGCTGCAGCCATCATTTCTGGGGATTTTTTAGCTGTTCTGTAGGGATGTAAAGAGAAATTTTAAGAATTAAATTGCCATTGGATCATTTTCGTATTTCCTCACTATATGGTGTACAGTCTGGTGGGATATAAACATAAAAGGCAATAACTAAAAAAAAAAGTAAATGCATCAAAGTATCAGTGTAGCTGAGTAGGACTTTCAGCCGGATATCATGATACAATGTAAGTCTAGAATAATCAGTTCCCTGTTTTTCTTCACGTGAATTAGGCAAGAACAGATGGTACAGAGTACTCACACAGATAAAAATTTTAGTAATTACATTTTTATTACTGTCTTGTGTTGTTTTAAAAATCAACTATTATGATTTGCTGCAAACTTCAGAAATTTTTTAAAATTTTTTGTTTTATCTATAAGCACAAGGTTGGGGGTTTTTTTAAGTACAGATGTTAGAATTAGCCTTTCTAATTAATTAAGATGCAAGAACAGGTAAGTATAGCTAAGTGAACTATTCTCGGTGTTGATACAAACTACATAGTAATATATCCAAACAATTCTAAACTCATCAGTATTAATTTTAAATAAGTACCCGGGATCTCTCACATGCAAATCACTAGTTTTCAATTAGAAAAGCAATTGTTAATTAATATTTATCTGGCTATGTAATCTGTTATAAGTAACACTGTGAGTCAGTACTATTGCAGTAGCTTGGTTTTGATAATTTATATCTTCATGTAAACTTAAGTATTTTTATTCTTTCCTGTCTATTCACAAATCAGTAGTATGCAAATAAACCCATATTAGCTGGAAACTACATTAATGCAGTAACAGACTGTTCTCACATCTTCCTTGTTTTCATTGTTTCATTTAAAAGTTTTTAATTTCACTAAGCTTATTTTTGACTAGGAAGTTAGAATCTGTAAAAGAAAAGTCAGCCTTGACCAAAGAAGGAAAACCAAAAAAGTGTGTGGTTAGGAGAGCACAATCACAATGAGTTGCTTAGAGAGACGTTTAAGACTGATCAGTAATGATACAACTTTTGTTTTCAATTTATGTTTCATAGTGAGGAAAGAGTCCATAAATAATTTTATTCAGAATTTGTTTTAAAGGGGCAAGGTTTTTTCCTCTAATCTCATAAAAACTTCAGAATTGGTTTTGGTACTCTGAACTTGGTTGTCCAACAGTAACAAGAAATTAACAACAACAACAAAACACTGACATATACATAACTTTAGTTTGTCATTTGCGAGCTAGGTTTTAAAAATGCAAATTTTCATTTAAATGTGTGGTGTGGCAGTGAAAATGACAGCACTTCAGGTAAAATTCTTAGTAAGACCTAATGTACATATAAATCTGATTGGCTGACCTTGTGATTGCATTCAATTTGTACAATATATGAGCAGTTTCAAAAATATTTATGTTTTCATATTTGCCATTTCATATTTTATGGGCAAGAAGTAATTTTGAAAGTTTGATTTTAAAATGTGATGCTTTCAAATATATCTTGAAATCTCTCTACTAATATAATCTCTTGTTTCTGTTGCTTTTCTATAAAAATGCTTGACATCATGACTTGTATAAGTAGTGACAAGTTTTAGGTCAATGAGAGAGAGAAAGAAAAATTGATTGCATTGCAGCGAAACACTAGAAACACAACTTTTTGCGATCAGAAGTTTTGTCATGTGTAAGCAAGCAGGCATACTTAAACCTAGATATATTTAAGAAAGGGTATGACAGTCAGTAGTACCTTTGCAGTTAAGAGAAATTTTAAGAGAAATTTGTTTTACTATAGCTTAGGTATAAAAGAAACCACTTACCATTTATATGTTAAGAACTTCTGCTAGTTTTCAAAACTGCTGGTGAAGACAGAGAGGACTAACATGCAAGTCCTCTTATTAGAAAGCTAAAGCACCAGCTTCTCTATGAAAGTGATGAGAATCAGCTGACACAGTACAATTAGCAACAAGAGGAAGTTTAACTAGTGTTGCAACTTTTTTTAAAATACATTTTTAAATAGCAAAACTCACTTTATTGAAAAAATCAATTTTGCTGTTAGTTTGGGCTTTGCTGGAAGAGGTTCTATAATAAAATTTTCACTGAGTTTCACTCTGAATTGGGATATTTGGATTTTTTTTTTTCTCAGAAACTGCTTCTGGTGAGCAGTGTCAGCAGCTTCCTTTTTTGATGACAATTTTTGATAATAATAATAATGCTACCTGTGTTCTTTTTAATACTGTTAAGGAAACAGTATCACTTTTTCAAAGGTAGGGTAAAGGTAAATCAACACCACAGTGAAATGATACATTTTGTTTATGTTGGTGTGGTTCTCCCATCTACCTTCCTCCTTGCCTGGGATTAGAAATTTGAGGTTGGTCTTTTTCCCTCAAAATGACAGTGATGGGAGAATATGAAAGTGCACACTGTGTGCAGTTTAACAGTTTCAATAAGACAGAAGTGAAATACAATATGCAGAGATAATACCACCTGGTAATACTATTTTAAATAGGATGTAAGGGATTTAAAAGTACATTTATAAATTGCAAATTTAATATTGGATTACAGAAGTCCTCATGTAAGATAGCCTAAATCTAACAGTCATTGCAAGAACATTGTCTTGGCTTAGTATTCTCCTTAGTATTTGAAATGAGAATTTACATGTTAATTTTCTTAATATATCATCTGTTTAGGAATCAGCTTTTATGGAATTCTGCAGATTTCAGTTAGAATTGTAAACATGCATTCTTACTGGAAGGTGCTTGTTCTCATGCAGTTGAAACTTTTAAAATGAAAATGTTTGTGGTTACAGATGGATGACTTTACAGGTAGTCAAACTGAGCTTGTTTTAGCTCCTTTGCACTATTTCGAGTTCCTAATATTGTGATTTAAGCTGTAATGTATTTTTAAGAATCCATATACAAATTTGACGTTCTTCCTTTTAAATAATATGGTTGACTGCAAAAGGAGCTTCAGATAAATGCAGGATGTTGTTCTATATTAAATGCAGTAGTTTAGCTGTGTGTATTAAATACTGAATTGTGTTCTAATAGATTTTGTCTGTATGTTGTTTCCTCCTACACCAGCCAGAATCCATCCAAATAGTTATTATTCCATTTTTGTATGTTACACCTCACTCTTATTAGTGGAAAGACTGGAAAATCAAAGGTATGAATGACAGTGCCTGGAATCCAGTTTAGAGACCTAAACAATTTCCTCCCTCACTAGAATATTTATTAGAAACATCACAGGGAGGGTCCTTTTCTTACCTGCAGTTGCAAAGTGATCAGTGAATTAACTCTGTGATTAAGGCCCAAACCAGTGTTTTATATTCACTGTGTGAAGGACAAGATCCCACAAAGTATATCACAGGCAGGATATTTCTGCTGGAGAATTGAAACAGTGTAAGGCTAATGAGTGAACAGTAAAAAGAAAAAGTAATACTAGGTAAGAAATTATAGGTGTTGATTTTTATCTCCATTTTATTATCATTTCACTCTGTGTTCCTTGTGAGTTCTGTTAAGTCCTGAAGGGATTTTTCTGGACCTGGGACAGTTGAAAGGGAAGTCAATGAAGGAAGAGGAGTCTATGCCAGGAAAAAAACATCTGAAATTAAGAAATTATTTCAAAAACCCCCCAAAATTCTAGCTTTTGTTTGCAAATCTATGAAAATAAGTTCTAAAAAGCAGATTGTATTTCTCTAATAATATAATAACTTGTCTGGGTTTTTGTCTTTTCAGCCACACTGTGTACTGCTTGCCTCAAAAGAGAATTCAGCCCCAGTAAAGCTTGGTGGCTTTGGGGTAGCAATTCAGTTAGGAGAGTCTGGGCTAGTTGCTGGAGGTAAGAAATTTTCCTTTGAAGTTATAAAATATTATGCATGTTGTACTGCAGAGTTCTGTTCTTCTGACACAGCCTGGCCTACAAAACAAGAGCTCAAAAATTTCACTAAAGACTTTGTGCACACAGTGAAGCAAAATTGCTACTGGAATTTAACATTGTTGTGCATACATATACTGAGTATTAAATTCCTCTAAATGTTACGCAACAGGAGCTTATGCTCATTTGAGCAAAATAAAATTGGAAAAAAGCAAAGAATTTTCCACTTGAATACAATTTTTGGCATAATTCTTCCGTGCTTGACAAAGCAAATCAAATAAAAATGCCATCAGGATTTAAATGTATGTCAAAGTAATTGAGTAAGGACTTACTACAGCATCGTCAATACTCCCTTACATTTCTTAGGTAATTTCTGCCAGAATGCTATGCTGTTTAAGAGCAAAATCTTAATAGTGTGACTTTCATGTGACTCTTTTCTGTGTTTTAATATTTCATTGTAATTATTGCATAAGACATCAATAGCTTGATACGTATGTATATTTTTTGACTATGTGTTTTGCTTTCTGTGGATTTTATTTCCTCTAGCTGCCTTCCATATTGTTCCAGACAATAGGGTTATGCTTTAATCAGCCTGCACAGATGAAGACCCAATCAATTTTCTGATGCTTTCAGAGTAGGAGACCACAACAAAAGATTTTGTTAGTTTTAATATTTTTCTTCAAAACCAGTAACTTACTCTCAGTATCATGCTTCTTCAAAAATTCAGATTTCCTGATCTAATTACTTCAAGGTCTGCGTCAATTTGGCTTTTATATGCTCTTTACATTAAAAAGTAAATCTAATATAAACATACCAACTGCTTCCATTCCCTTCCAGATACCACTAATACCCTGGAAATATCCAAGTATCTTATTACCTAGAGACCTCGATATATCTTTTCAAGGAAAATACCCATTCAGTTAAGCTGCTATTGTTTCCTCAATAAAAAGATTGCTCCTTTCTTTACTTTCCCTGTGTTTCTCATTTTCTGTACCTCAGCCACTGATTTTTTTAGTGATAACTTCCTACACTTTTCTTTTTGATTCTCTCATTTTTCTTCTTTATATTCTCACCGAGCAATTTTATCCATTTCTTCTGTTTCAGCTACTCTTCTGGATATAGTCAGATACAGTGTACTTTATTTCAGACTACTAGCTGTCTCCCAAGAAACCTCAGGTTCAACTTGGAAGAAAAATCCTGCATTTTTCCCCAGATTTGTCATGTCCTTCCCCTTCTGTTACCATTCACTGTTCTGCAATCCCACTCATCATTCATGTGCTCAACCTCCATCAGTTCTGGTCTGGTCTTTCCTTTTCTATATTTTCATTTGATTCTGGCTCTGTTTGCAGTACTTAGAGAAGCTTCTTTCTTAAGCCTCATCAGTATAATATTTCTCTGTGTCTTTTGCCTCATCCATGTCAACTTCTGCCATATCAGTCTGCCTTCATGGTTATTTTTCTCTCAACTCTCATTTCCAATTTGTGGCCTTTTCATTAGCATTTGTTACTTTCAGCTTCCCATTCCTCTCGCTTTCAGTGATACCCTGAGAATTCCATTTCATTTATATACCATGGAAGGTTTCAGTTCTACTACTTGTCTCAAGCTTCCTCCTCAACAGACTTCTTAGCTCTTTCTTCTCATTTTCCTTTTTAGTCTTTATACCACAAACTACATCTGTTATCTGGCAATTCTTTTCCCTTTAGAGTCCTACCTGAAGGCATATTACTAGACAGTCCCCTACACAGCACTTGCAAGCTTTTATTTCTTCAACTTTACGATATCACCCCATATGTGTTATATGAAAGTTAACAACGCTGTCTGTTTGAACTGGACTATATATTTCTTGTAAAAAAAAATTGTTTATCTGCACATTTAAGTAAGTTATCCATATGCTCTATGGATGTTTCATTTTCTAATAATGATAAATTATGGGCACTACTTATTTCTCAGTTGTCTCCTAAATGAAATAGAAACTTTCCTTATAGAGAAGTTTTAGCAGCATAATAACCAACCTGTTCACCTTCACATTCTTTTTCTAATTTTTAGTGAAAAACATTGATTCAGCTTAACATAGTCAATTATTTCCCTTTCAGCATGACAATTCCTGTATTTGATGGTTAACACATCAAAAAATAAACTTTCTATTAAACAGAAGCTATTATGGCATTAAGGTTCTCTTACTGGCCTAAAACCCCATGTGCTCCTACTACATTTTAGTGTTCAGTATACCTTAAAATTTTTACAATAGTGAAAACACACTGTCTTATGCTTACAGAAAGTGCAATACCTGCTAATCTTTCTGTATCTCTGTAATGTGTATTATCACAGTACCCTACCAGAATATACTCTTTTACTAGTGTAAATCCCTATGTAGATGACCCTGGTGTTCAAGAACAGAAATCTTTTTATCTATCTTTATTTTATGTTGCTTGGAGTAGTTTATCTTTTAAGCAAATAAACACTGGCTTTCCATTAGAAAATGCATGTCAACATTGAAAGTAATATACCTATAGTAAAGTTCAACTGATAGGACTCTTCCCTTGATCTTGCGTAAAAAGCCAGCCATTATTCGAAAGCTCTTCAGTATCTACGATGATCACTCTCTTTTGTCTTAGTATTTTTCCTGCTAAAATAGGAGTTGCTATATCTAAAACATTCAGGGGTTACCGGTGTTCTAGAAATTTTTTCCTTGCTTTCATGCATTTGCCTTTGTGCCTTTTTGCTTACCTTTTTACACTGACACACCTGTGACTGGCAAGCCCAGATTGTGTGTAGCCCCAGGAGAACACAAATAGAAGGGAATTTTCTTCCTCAAAGGCTTCAAAGCCTGCCTTCTAGGGCACAGATTTTGCTTTGTTAGGGACTACAGAATTTTTTTAACTTAACAAATGAAATCTTTTTCCCTATGTCTTTAAATTGTTGGGGGGGGGAAGGGGAATTTTTGTAATAAACTATTCCCAGATATTGAAAGTAGACCAGTCCCAATCTTTTGATGTAAGTCCAAAGATAGACTTTTGTTGT